GTTTACATCTTCTTTTGGAAACCGGAGTTGTAATTGCATTCGGAGACGATCTCGGCAGCGAATTCCTCCAGCTGAAAAGTGATTTACATTTTTCCCAAAACGTCGTTGGGAGTATTCAGTTCCTCTTCGTTCGGGACGCTCAAGTTGTAGGCACTCAACTATCTCGGATTCGACAGCAAGTGATAACATCCTGCGAAACAACAACACGTATGAGCTAGCCACGCCCACCTTTTGAACTTCTCCAAGAGAGAATTGAGCAAGTTGGTCAGTTAACCCTTCCATCTCTGTAATTAAAGTCCAATCATCAGGTGTGATGCATTTCCATACAGGCTGCTCGTTCTCCGGTGCTGAATCGAAATACTTAGTTAGAGCGTAATAGTTGTACACACTCCGTCTCATAAGTGAAATAGCATAACCAACACGGGTTTTGGCGTCAACCTTAATGTCTGCGGGTGGAAGATTGTAAAGTTTCTTTATCTCCTTCAGCTTTTGTAAGCGTTGCGGCGTGTTGAAGAATGTTGCAACATCTCGTAACTTTTGAACAACGCGAGACCCATCTTTAAATTCCCCACCAGGTGTAACAATGTCCTGACCATCATTTCGTGTGTTTTCCTTTAAGCCAACAGCGTAGAGGATACACAAACTAAGTAAATGCATAAGGCAGTCGACTTGGTCTGTATAATTAAAATGATCTCCAACATATCGCGCCGATCCAGTAGTGTCACTGACTGTAAACCGAGCAAATTGATCCAAATTGATGTTATATCGGGATTGAATCGTGGTTTTGATGTGGTTGGCGACTTAGGGTGCAGCGTGACCACTAGAATTCGCTAACGCCAATAATGACACTGTCCGCAAACGCCACTCTGAATCAATATACACAACGGTTGTTCCAATGATATTGACAATTGCTGCATTCGTAGCTAAGTCGTGAAGAACCGACAGAAATGGTTGTTGTAATACTGCGTCAAACTCTTTTCGTAAAGACAGAGAAACCAACTGGAAAAAGTTCTGATATTCTCCATCAGCAAAGGCGTAAAAGGTATTGCGGGCTGGAA